TTAGGATTTAAATATTTAAACATTAAATGTAAATTAATTAAATAAATAAGTAAACTTTACCTTTTCCGTATTAAAATTAAACTTGGAACTCAATTGTGCACAAAATCTTACTGTGGTCAAAACTGTTCACACACTATTTCTGTTTTCTTCGACTCATAGAAACAGTAAAAGTCCCGTTAGTTTAAAAAAGTGCTACCSGCTGGTAATTAACGTAACGCTTGAGAATTTACAATAGAAAAATATTGCCAGACTGGTTTCAAATTTAGGAAATAGCAAGCGAATTCAAATTTCATATATTCGTGAACACTTTTGTCCCTTACTGTACATTAAACTTATTAGAGGGCACATATTTTTTACTCACAGGTGCCCATTACTATTGGGATCCCCTGTGTCAAATTACAATTTTAATTCTTAATCGGTTAATGGCATTTTATAAGCGTGGCAAGCTACGGTAAGTATTCTATGGAACAGAATACCAGATCTTTGAAGCTTCTCTCAGAGTTCCGCCTTATTTTTCGGTTTAATGGATCCAATATTTTTCTTAACAATTTTCCATAAGTTTTCGATTAAATTCAAATTGATTGCGCTAGATAAGCCATAACGCTAAGACCATGACAGAGATAAAGAGATGTTTAACTTCAATGGCGGGATATCAATCTGGCCATCGCTCGTTTCCAATTGCTAAACGTCAAAACCACCTAAACTTTGACAGTTGATCGAGTTCAGGAGGTTTTGACGTTTAGCAATTAGAAACGAGCGATGGCCAGATTGATATCCCGCCAAATTATTATTCGAATTAATTTTTTTGTCTCATTTTGTAACGGCCATTAGTTCGAATAATAGCGAAAGCGAAACAGCACGTAAGTTAAAAGATGTGAGTATATTTTAACTTTTATTAAATAAATTTGCATTAATTTAATACTTTTTTATTTTGTTTTACAGATAAAATGGCGAAAACAACCACCAGTTGACGAAAATGTATTGTTGGCTGCAACGAGGGAGGAAGAACCTTTAGTTT